GTAATCGTAGATCGTGACCTCAACCTGATACCTTTCTTCACACTGAGCGAAAGCCTACATGTGACTGAGCGCGCCGTATGGCAATCGACGCGAGGATCTAGTTTGGAACATGGCAAGAAGACTCGTGGTAGAACGCAGAATCTGTTCGTTTCAAACAAACACCATGATGAACTCCAGTACAGTGCGAGTTACAGAATTCGGGAAAGCAAATCAATTTACCTTGTTCAAAGCCTGTTCTGTGAGGGTATCCTACTGCAAAGTGTCCTCGGTTCTGATCTATTGATCACTCGCTCTCCCTACTCAGGATGAGCTTTCCATCCAAGAGAAGGTACTGCAAGTCGCACAGTCAGCATGTCGGCATTATATGACCATGGTTCGTCAATCGCAGAGAGTGGGAGATGATGGTGGGAGCACAAGGGAGTACTGTAAGGTATTTGTGTCAATCGACTCCACAGTAATTCGGCCGGAGCACTAAAGCCAGCTCCCTCGACAGCTTGTGGCACAAGGCCATTGGGGATATATCTGTACCACCATAATAGGTGTGGATTGTGGATGCAGACCACATCCTGCCACATTCGAGTCACGTACCCATAAAAAGGACCCCACTTGTTTTTTCATCTTTATCTTATACAAGCTCATCAGTCCCAACGACCAGCACCATCTCTCTATCTGAGTATCAGTGTGCTAAAGATAACACTACGCAGAATGAACAACGTACCCTCCCATCACTTCGCGCACACCTCTAAGCACCTGATCCTGGCTACATGTCCAGGAACACCTAACATGGACGAAGCTACACTCCGTAAGCTCACCCGTGTAAAGCTGCAAAAGCTCGCGAAGGTGTGTATCGCATTTCTCTCTCTGAATACTACAGTAACTCATTAGGAAACAGGAAAATAAGATCAAGGCTAACATGAAGAGCGAGACGATTATCCAAGAGCTCTTAAAGCTCTACAAGGTTGTCCCACTACAGTAGGTCCCCCCTCATGCTCGACGGAATGAACCGTTCTGATGGAGGCTCAGTCAGGATGAAGGGATTAAAGAGCTTCCGAAGAAGAGGTTGAGAACTAGCATAGAAGACCAGCCTCCTTCTGGGCCACTAAGAAGAGCTAGCGAGGAAATTCCTCCAGTCGCTGGTCCATCAACACAACTCATGGATATGCCTTTGGACACAAGTCGTGAGCGTCATGTGCCACGTCGTAGCGCAAAAAATCTGACATTTGTCCAGTTGATCATCCTTCCACCCAGGAAGGTCCTCAGAAATCTGTGCTCAGTGCAGAAAAAAGTGCTCCGATTACAGTAGCCAGAAATGTTGCCGACGTCGCCTCCGCAAATTCAGCAGGAGTATTGCAAGAGCCTTCACCGGTACTGGAAAGTCACACTGGGCACCCAGCTGCGGGCGACGACACCAGCGACGCTGATTCCTATCTATCCTACGCGAGTCAGCATGGCTCCCCCCTCAGCTCGCGTTCAGGGACCCCCCCGCTCGCAAAACCACAGATGCTCAACCGGGCGGTGGGGATCATGAACCAGATCACATCCGACGATCAGCGTGCTCTCGGCCAGATTGCCGCTCTACGCAAGAGAGCGAAAATGCTGAGGGAGCAGGCGAAGAATGTGAGGGATGTGGTGCGTGCAGAGCAGGGGCGACGTAAGAGATTGGAGGCCTACTTTACGTCCTGGAGGGAGAATTCGCCTACATGGTCAAAGGAATAAATATACGATGGAGGCGAAGACGAGTAGATCAGAGGACCAATGCATGGCATATATATATAAACGCTTCAGCGTGAATTCCGCATAATCTCCATTGACGAATGCCAAAGACACCTTGATTATTGTGAATTATGGAGACCTAAGAAATCTAGTTTGTGCTTTCAAGGACATCGATGGAACTGGACTGCTATAAACTGGCCACCGTCCTAGCATTCCAAGTTGTTATTCAGAGAAAGCTGGCGTATCTACCTGCTTACCAAGAATACAAGACGGACCTATCTTCAATTGGAAGACACCCCGAAGACTCGCTGACCGTTCTTTCTAATCTCGAAGAGACTACTGTCTTCCTTCTGCCTATCATATCACCCGTTCCTCTGTGATGTGCACAGTCATTAATGGTTCCATGCTGAAGCCCTTTCGTAGACTCGCTCTCAAAAGATGAACCGTTCGGGACACAGTGCAGTGTAGGAACTGGAAGCACAACAGCACCGTCTCTGTAGAGAGCTCCGAGTATGAATTTCGGTGTCCAGTGAAAATCCTATAAGGAAGTAGGCAAAAAGACACTATATCTGCATTTCAATAGCTTGCATTTGCGCTAGTTTACAGTGTAAAGAGGTCAAATGTCGAGGTGTAGATATGTTTGCAAGTTCAGGCTTGTCCGGGGTTGGAAAAGTGCTTCTCACACTGTAGTACCTCTTGCTTCAGTGGGCATTTCTGCTGGCGAGTTGCCACCTATGTCGAAGTGTACTTGTAGAATGATGAGGCAGAACGTGATCCCCTGAACAAAATTGCTGTGAATCGCTTGGGTCTAAGCTCTGCAAACTCACCACAATAGGAGGAATAATGTCCAGCATGGTATATTGGGCGTTGGATCCGATGAAGAATGTTAGAAGGAGCATAAGGATACTCGTGGAATAAAAAGCGCCGCTCTCGATGACGACGACAAAAACAGGTAGAAAAGCAGCAAAGCCCTCTGGCATGAAACAGCGAGTACGATAGATGCGCCAAGCATTCAAAACTGCATCACTATGGTCATCAGGAGCCTGCAGATTAGATACAATCGACATACTGGTACTAGTAACACTGAGAACCATGGTCAATGCATCGAATGTGGCGATGCACCCATAATCAGCGGGGGTGACAGTAGACAGCAGACGGGCCCGAGAAAGGGATCCGACACCGTAGTATCCAGTGGCTGCGAAATGTTTCGGGATAAGATGATGGTCGAATAGTACCTTTCGAGATACTCACCCACGCTGGCTAAAAGCATAATACAGCCTGGAATGGCAACTAACAGACTTCTGTCGTTGAGCACATAACATCGCCAAACCTACGGCCCTACTCAGAGGGGGAAGCAAAACGTGCTATGTAGAGGAACGCACAACTATCGCATCGGCGAGAATGGTTTGCATGATGCAAAGTGCCGTTGATGCAACAAACAATGGCGAACCAAAGTTGGAATAGTAGTCACTCGCACCAATAGTATCCACCTTGAATACGAATGATTCTAACGCTCGAACAAAATCGAGGATTAAATGCTGAAAGTGATCGTATTGAGCTAGTCCCCGAAGAGGCTTGACTACACTCAGCGACTTACAGCCGTTGCAATGCAGAGCAGCAAGGTTGCCATTGGGAGAAGGAGTTGTCGTTGAATGCCAGTCTTCTTGAGTAGGATAACCAACGTGAACCAGTATAAAGTGAGGAACACGCCTGTTTGGGATAGTGAAGTTTAACACCATGACCTTTCTACCAGTGGTCGTTACGCACCATACAACAAGGTCTCAAGAAATAAACCTAACAAAGCAGCTGCGTCCATAGGTATGCCCATGATTACAATCGTGCCACTGGACCAGTTGAGTCAGATTCAAATAAGAGAGTATCTGTGGTGATTTGGTGCACGAAGGAACGAGTCAATGTGAGGTTCCTTGGATGGTCGAACGTAGGCAACTAACTTGTGAAAAGATAGTGACTCGAGAGTATAAATGTTTTGTCGTGAGAAGCTGTGTTGGGTCCATATGAGGGATTCATGGCTAACGGTGAATGAAATTACTAGCCACCTGTTGCCACTGGCCAACTACTAGTTCACCCCCGTGCCGTTCGCAACCATCTGATAGCTGCATCAAGCGCTATCACGGGCGATAAACTGCCGATCCGCGGGGTAGGAGCCGTGGTCGCATGTGGACATTAAGATTGACCATCTTCGAGTATTCGATACTTGCCTTAGCAGCGTGTATTAGCGCATAGCGTTCTGAAACTGTTATCGACAATTGAGCATTCTCTTTAAAAGAAAATTGGTAATAACCCACCTTCCTCTGATTGGAAAAATTTGAATGTCCCAATCCCTCGGCAATTTTGGTCCAACTGGCAAATTTGCACGTTGATACTGCTCTGCAGCTACTGTGAACAACTTACTACTATACCTATCACAGGCTGGCTGGTGGCAGGATCAGTATTTACTGAGCGCTGAGACTGATAGTGGGATTAAGACGTGCTGCCGCACGCAAGGGGCGGTGAACTCGACAACAAGTTGAAATTCTGAATCCTGTATTGATAAGCACAGCGAAAGTAAGCCGTTGTTGCACGGAGTGGAATAGCAACGCGACCTCACAGCGTGCTTGCGATTCACTTGCACTGCGGTCGGATCTGCAGCCTGAGCGTAGGCACAAGATCCGATGGCCCTGCTCAAATTCTGATGGACACACTGGCAGAACCTAGATATTCAAGTCAGCGCAAACACAAGATCCGATGGCACTGCTCAAATTCTGTGAATGGACGCAGAGCCAAAAGAACATCCAGCCACCATGCTGATGCACTCCAAATCTGGACACCCACCAACGCATTTTTTCACACAAAAAAGTGAACCCGACCCGGATTGAACGGATGACCTTATGGATCTCCCGAACTTCAAGTTCAGCTGGAATCATACGCGCTACCACTGCGCCACGGGTTCATGGAAGATTGGTGACTGCATGCGATCATAGTACCAGTACTTCGAGCGGAACTCTTACTGAACAACATCTTCTCCGAGGGCTCTGTGTAGTATGTACAGTCGTTGACACTGTACAGGTCGACAATCAACGTGAATGTTGAAAAGCGCAGTAGTGTATCCCCTCTAGCTAGTAGCTTATTATATCTTTATGAATGTAGGCACCTTCGGGTCCTGTTGCTGCTTCGAAGTCTAAATATTCATTTGTAGTAATCGATAAATCTCGAGGACTCAAAAAAAGTAGACTTAAAGAGCTGAAGTTTAACAACGGGCCTGGACCGTCATCATGAAGGTAAAATGATTCGGATACGGGGAATCGAACCCCGAGCAACCGCGCACCTTGCGATGAGAGGCGGATATGTTACCTTTACACCATATCCGAGTGACAGAGCAGTGTGTATAGTGCTACAAGTTCGTTCAGTGTCAGCAGGCCTTATTCAACAACCTGTCCACGAAATGGAGGTCGCCTGCGAAGCTGGCCTTGAGCATATAACATCATTACACCTCAACTTATACATTACACCTAATAAAAGCCTCACTCTCGCGTAATCCTCCACCCACTCATGGCAACCTTTTCCACCTAGAATTCTTTGTGGTGGAAAGATAAACTTCGGATCCAGGGCCACGGTCCATCCAGGCAGATGCTTGCTTGGGCATCAAATTTGTCACCTGGCATAATCGTTAGATGAGACTCCTACTCTGAAAAACACATCACTCACGAGGAACCTCTGGCCCAATTTGAACTCCCCTGCTTGGGATCCTTCGGCAATGGACAAGTTGAGTACATCCCAGACGGTTAGCTGGGCTTTGCGACCACTGTCGCCGCCTTGTGTGGGTGTATATGCATCCTTCACGATGATCACACGGAAACTGCGTACTTCCCGAGAGGGACATTTGTCCTGGGGGAGCGCTCAGTGAAAACAACTTCATGCAAGTGTCAAACCTACCTGTAATTCTCGCTCGATATCTCCCGCGACAGCTTCACGATCCCGGAGAAGTTTCTCTCTGATGTGTGCAGCAAGACTGCCTGCTTCAAGGCGGCTGAGCCGTGAGAGTATCGCTTGGGCTTGATGACGGTCAAGACTTTCCTCCAAGGATTCATATAAATCGTCAAGGTTGTCTGGCATTTCTAAAATAGCGCGTGAGCAATACACAACCTTGCTCACAGCCTTCTCACCTTCGTTTTTAACATTGAAGCCCGGACCCACACGTTGTTCAAGCCTATCTGCGAACCTCATCATCACCGCCGCTCGTCTTTCAAGATCTGACCAAATTTTTGAGGCAACGAGTTCGCGCTTCCTCTGATATAGAATCTAAGCGCTAGACTTGGTGCAGAGCTCTTCATCTCACCTTCCATTTCTCATTCAAGGTATTTTCATCCTTGGCACTGCGGGGACCCTCCATCCGCTTGCCGTTTTCGTCTTCGAAGAATTCAATATGTGCGACGGGATGAATCTTTAAACTAGAGTCAGTTACGTCTTGGTGTTACACGCTCATCCTACCTTGATAACTTCGACAGCTGCAACGGCCACGTTTCCACCGTCTGCCGTAAGGCTGTTGAGCGTCGCAATGAATGGACTTCGCTGGAAGCCAAGCTTTGCGTGCCAGGGGGCCATATGGGACGAGTTACCTGTCAGCACCAGGGCATTCGAATCATATGCCTCGAGGACTTCTTGTCCATCTTTGCGTTCTGCAGAGAGCTGTACGAAAAATCAATCAATGTCACGATATAAAGTAATTCCAGTTACTTACCCTAGCTCCAGTAACAGCAATTTTCCTCCCGATCTTGATGTGACCCTTACGGATCGCTCTCGCAAGCGGCTTATCGACCCTCGCGCGCAGTCTGTACCATCCGTCTGTCACCTCTAACTCGGGATGTGAAGGAATGGGAAAACCGTCGTCAGTCTCTCCAGCTGGTGACCAAGTCACATTCGACACGCAGAGCACCATCGGAGATGCAGCAGGCGCATCTCTTGTAGTAATCAGTCGTAGTGGTGGTCGTGTTGACCCGTTCAAGTCTCGTTCGTATCTGCGCCAGTGGTTGGTCAGGGAAGAAACAGATAGGTAAACGGCACAAACCTGTACAGTAGCTGGCGGATCACTTCAGGCCAGCACCATCGTTTGCGATCGGGATCGGACTCTGCTTCTGGTTCGAGTGAGACCATTCCAGCGAGCTTCCAGAGGATAAGCGACCAATGGTTATTGATCCATTCCTGTGTGGCCAACGAACATCCTCTTGCGTGGAGATCTTCTAGAGCAGCAGCAGGTCCAAGAGGCTTTGCATCAGAGGGTTGAACACTTTCGTTCGGCGTAGCCGATGGCGTATAAAACGAGTAAAAGAGAGCGGTAGCTGGTGTTATTTTGGATAGTTCTGTAACATTTCTATGTGGAAGCGTGTTAGTAATTAGTATTGCAGTCGAACTAACTGACTGACATTCCATGATCCTCAAGCTCTGCAGTCGTGTAGGCCTGAGGTGTGAGGCCGGAACTGGCAAGTGTCATCCTTCCTGCAGGAGGGACTGTAACAAGAGTTATAAGTTGACCGGTGGATCACTGCAGTGAAACACTTACCAAGGTTGAATGCTTTGCCTGTACCCTTTTCGGGAGCTTTCTTTACTGGTCTAGGAGACTGGGTTACCGTGAGTGAGGGCGGATACATAGGTCGCTGTAAGCTGGGACTTGGGGCAGCAGACGATGGTGTAGCTGATGCTGCATTGTTCGATTCTGGAGGTTTGACGCCTGGTTTGAACGGCGTCACAAACTTGTTCTTGACCAGACCACCACGTAAATTTCGCGGCGTAAGACCCAGTGGTCGAAATGCGCCCCCAGGATTAACCGATGCTGAGGGACGGACAGGCGTTCCTGGTACAGCAGAACTAGATGGAGTCATATGAGAAGATGCGGACGCAAAGCCCTGACGATGAGGGTTGAGGGGAGAGTTGACATATGTAGAACTGGCTATCCCCGCAATAGGCTGTCGCGATGGTACGGAGGTGATCAAAGGAGATTTGAACGGTTTCTGTTTTCCCTTGAAGTCGCTGACGCCAAGCGTTGGTGCCGATCGTGCTCCAGCTTCAAATGACTTGCGAGTAGCCATTGCAGGGGTCGGTGTATCTGGGACTTGAGGCGACAAGGAATTGTGCACTGCTCCCAGAACGGTGCGCTGAGGCGAGGATGGTTGTGCAGAGGAAGAGGGCGCAAACCCTTCAGAATGTTGGGAGGAACTCGAATCATCAACCTCTCCCTGCCACAGCTTGATCTTTTCCTCGGCCTTCCGCAATGCGGCAGTTGATGGGACGATAAGATTCCCTTTGCCGACGGACTTGAAACCTATAGGTGTGCTGTGACTGGCAGTCGCCTCGAAAACATTCTCTTTGGGTTTGTCAAGGCGAGACACGGCAGATTGAAACCCTACAAAAGTTGCAGGAGGAGCCGAAGTAAACCACGAAGAGTAGTCGACTTCTGGGGGTACCTCGGGTGAAGGTGAACGGTGTGAGTCATTCACATTCTGGATGGGCAAAGCCGATGCAGACTTGAAGCCTACTGGAGGGAGAACGGCAGATGCTTTGGTAAAAGATGCGAATATGACTGATTTCGGGGCATTCGAATGAGCGGGTAGGTCAGAAACAAAAGGATTGTTGTCGCCTTGAGAAGCTATGTCCTGCGAGGAAAGTAGGTCCTGATCGGACGAAATGCCACGATCTCCAGCTTCGCCAGAGCTTAGCCTGTGGTGCGAGTTTGTTGGTTGAGAGAGGCGTGCCTCTATAGCATCGAAAGCGCTTATATCATCTTGACTCATGTCATCGACTTGTTCGTCATAGGTGGGAGAAGACATTCTCATTTTCTTCCTGGGTGGGCTATCTGCAAAGTCTCATGTCAAGGCTGAAAGCAAGATCTCTAAAGTGTCTCACCTAGATTATACATGTTTTGTGTTGGAGAGTCGCCGCATCTACTACGCGACGCGTCTTAAAATGTGATCACGTGTGGCATTCATTACATCAGCCTAAGTGGAGGACAGAACGTTGTTGGCATGATTGTTCTTCGATACCGGGTTATGTTTTTAGAGTCTCCGTGAACAATAAAATTGATTTCATTGAGTTTGGTCTCGGCTCTCGGCCTACTATGTAGTACATACAAATATTGATCAGCCTTGGATCAGCCATGGTCCAATTGTACTAACGCGCCAGTCCGGTCAATCACTTTCCGTGCACTCCGTCTTTGAAAATTTGTTGTTAATATAAATCACTGACAATCTGGTCTGGCCAAACAAAAGCCTTCAGCTAACCTCAAACCTCTCAAAACATTGCTTTCCTAAGGTTCTTCATACCTTGCATCCCTCGCCGACCGCGCAGGTCCACCAGCACGACGTCTGGGGATCAAATACCTATGAACGGTACAAACATCCTTCCCAGTCAGAATGCAATAGGTTCGCGGCCAGCCAAACCTCCCTCAACAGGTCTCGCTCCTTCTGCTCCTTCTGTCGCGCCTCCCCTTCTTCCTAATCATCCGAATTCACCCATTCCAAATCGAACACTACCACCTCATTCCAATAACATCGTCGTTAATGGGACTTATACGCACAATCAGAAAGGAAAGAAGAAGAACGATACACCTGTTGATCCTGCTGCCATGTACGAGTCTCTGAAGAGCAGGATCGCAGCCCTGGAAGAGGAGGAAGTGCTCGAGGAAGAGGAGGAGAAGATATTTGGTGCGTGTGTCCTCCCTCTCAAATTCATACACCACTCATACGTTCATCAGCTGAGGAGGCTGTAAAGTCGGTGAAAGGCATGGAGGAGAATGCAGTTCATGCCAAGTACATTGAACTCGTGCGTTATCATTCGCATGTCTGATATATGCATTTCTGAATTACGGAACTCCAGTTCGCAGAACTAAAGCGATTGGAACGCGACCATGCAAAGGAAAAGCAGAAATTGGTCAAGGACAAGGATGCTGGTACGTACGATTGACCCACTCCGTTCCAAAATACTCATACTCTACTGTATTCATAAAGCAAAGAGCCAACTGACAAAGGCTAACCAGACTAAAGTTAAAATGGAGAATTTGGCACGCGAGCTCCAAAAGGTCAGCAGACTCATGACCTATGTCTATTTTCCTAACCGACTTTCGTGCAGGACAACAAGAGACTACGGGTATGCATGACTGCGCAACGAGGTTCATCCACTATGCTTACACCGGCCTAGGAGGACAGTAAACGTCTAGCACAATGCATAGAAGAGGCGCAAGAAGAGGTATGTGTCACTTTTTCAGCTCGTAGCTTTACCAACACTGCCCTCAGATTATGCAAATGAAATCCGACGTGGCAAAACGAGTGGACAAAGCCAAAACGCAAGACGTCAAATACCGCGAAATGCCTGACATTGT